GCTGTCGCCGCGGAAGATCAAAGGCCGACCTCAGAAGAACAGTTGCAACAACCACTCCCTGGGAAAAGTCTTATTCCTGCCCCTCTGAACCCTTGTGCTCTAGTTCATTGAATAGCATGTCTCTCCAGTACCACCAGCCCTTATCCCAGCCTACCTGCGGAGGCTACCACTGTAAGGCGGAGAGGAAAAGTCTTTGACTAAGCCTTCTGGTCAGACCGACGACTGTCTCATGTCTTGTCTCGCCGTAGCCAAAAGGAATGCTGCCTTTGAGTGTAGCATCTACAATAAGTGGGTAAAGAGTCAGTGTGATGAGGACATAAGGGACCAATGTTACGCTGCCACGGCACGGAACTCATGCGCGTGATTCTGGTACATTTGCCCACAGTGCCGTACGAGGCCACTCTTTTCTACAGGCTCGCCGACAGAGGTCGTAAAAGACACCACAGTGGCTATTGTGATCCCGGCACCCACACAGACCACTATCCCAGGTCCAAGTGACGAGAGTGTCAGCAACTTTTTCCGAACAATCACACCTGTGAATAGTCCACAAAGGGCCAAACGACTACCAGGCACGTGGCCGACCATATTAGTCTCTTACCCTGAAGCCACCTCGATGGCTATCTCCGCTGTACATCGGGGAAAATTGGTCAGAGTGGAAAAGAAGGTGCACCTCTCCCATAAAAACCACCCACAGTACACGATAACCGAGACGCTGATGATAAATGAAATTCCATCATCCTGTTCAACTTACCTGTGTGCCACGATAGCCTTCTCGAGAGCACAGCCCCTTGAAGAACAGCGATGGCAGACGGTATGCACCATATTTGCTCTGGGTAGCCTAGAAGCAAAGCCATGCCGGCTCTACGAAGGCAACTACTCACCTCAAGGTAAGCCACCGCCGATGAGGGTGACACTGAGCCTGGTTGACGAAGCATAGAGATTCTTGTTGTCGCGTACGCTAGTCATCAACCGGTCATCCAGCATCAGGTCCAGGCCAGGCCATCCACGGCCAGCAAGAGGTGTATCTCGCGAGGCACCCCATACGCTGAAACCAACAACCGTGGTTGTCCACTGCACATCGGAACTAACAACCAGCACGGTGTTAGATAAGTCTACCCACGACGTCCATCAATGGTAGTGGCCACCAGAGAGGACGGGATCTAATTGGATGGCGGCGGCGGTCGCCTGCAGACTGCCACATACCTCACATTTGACGATGAAAACATCACCCAGGTTGATGGCTATTGACTTTGTCTGTCAAGGACTTCTAACAGAGTACTGAAACCTTGGTATACAGCTTAAGACAACATCAGCGGGAACGTTCGCTGCTGTAAAGGCAGGTCCAGGGCACTGCGACAACAGCAAACGAAAGCCCCATTCAGTTCAAAAGTCACCATCACTGTCAACAGACGAGATATCCAAACTGACCTAGACTTTATAAAACTCCAGGAAGCAACTAAGAAAAACGTGAGTGGCCCGGTTACACTGCAGCTTGCCGTCCTGCAACAAACTCCGTAATTGAGCACGACTCTCTTCAGTCTGCCACCACCGAGACAGCCTTAGTTGTTGGAAACGCTTCCAAGTGTCTTTGCAGCAGTATATAGGGACCTAGAAGTAAGGCGGGAGAGCTGTGATTTCTTTGTTCTCACCCTGCTCCGCAGATCATAATCCGAATTAAGACTTCGTTATCACCGGATATTGGTGACATCAAAACTAGTCTAGATGGTATGGCTCCGTTCAGGAGCGACAGGGAGTTTAAGGAAGGAGGCGGAGAGGCAATGTTTATAAGTGACTATCCTGAAAGCGAACGAGTAGCTGGAACTCTACTTTTAAGGCCCCTAGACTCTATCTGGTGCCACTTTTTGGCTGGACACACCAGATAACAGGTGGAGAGCGTTTACAGAACTCCTACTAGCAACTTGGAACATAACCAAAATGATCAAACCTGTAAACTGGTTTGTATTCATGTAACCCTTCTTGTGTGAAATGTATTATCATTATTATAGGGGACGAATGCTGCAGGTAATGTCCACAGCGACGTCTATGGGATATGACCAGGTCATTACGGCCGACGACCTTAATGCTCCAACCCCCAATCTTGAGCACGATTGGGGAACCCCAGGGTAAATGTTCGGCTAAAACCTACCTAACACTGTCAAAAAGGCTGAACTGCGTGAGAATATTGGCGATGACACTCGCTGAAGGTCGAGCGGAAAACTGCCCAAACTGGCCCATCTGCTTGTTGAAAATGTTCAGGTCCGAATCCCCCTTAGCAGCAACTATCACCGCGTGGTAGTGTTCAGTCTGGTATTCAGCGAACAACTGTCATGCGAGGGATCTAGCCCTTGTCTTTGCTACAACAAAGCGAACTACGTGGCGACGAACCAATATCTGTTGACAACACCATGGCCTCAGGAGTGGAGCAACATGTCGATCGACCAACATTGGGAACTAGTCAGAGATATCATCAAGAGGGCTGTCTCTGAAAACGTCCCAGCAGTCACAGCAGTACCACGGAAGCAAACCTTATGGCTGAAGCGCGGCACTGGACGCCTTTTGAAAGCCAAGAGGAAAGCGCGGCACAAGTGGAGGACCTCCTGAAAAGAGTCTGACCACACCGCGCGTATTGCCCTAAGAAATCGACTTAAAATTAGAGTGAGGGGAGACAAGAGGTAATTCCAGACGAACCTTGCCCAAAAGCTCGAGGCAAATCCCAAAAACCTTTATCGGCTTATGGTAGGCAGAAAATCCAACTGCCAGGGGGCTTGCGTCCTGAAAGGCGTAGACGGAGAGAACCTCTCCGGACTGGAGATCGCCGAAGCCTTTAGCGCCACCTTCGATACTCAGCTGAATACGTCTCTATTGAACGAAAATTGCCAACCATTCAACCAACATTCAGCACCACCAAATGCAGTAGAGTTACCTAGAATGAGGGTAACTCCTGCTATGATCCTCGAAAAGGTATCAAAGCTCCGCGCAGGGAAATCACCAGGGTGTGATGACATCCGACCGGCTGTGTTGAAACAACACACAGGTGTTTTGCGCAGTACGCTGTGTAATCTGTTTCAACACTCCCTAGAAAATCACGTGCTTCAGCAAGGGTGAAAAGGTGGTATTCTGTCCCTCACCTCCAAGGAGAGAAACAGGCAGAGTTCAAAATGCTATCGACTCATGGTCTCCTCTTATCAATGGTGTCAAAATAATGGACAGCCTGGAAGACGACCACGTCACGGGGTACTTAGAAAAGAGGGGCTCACTTAGTGTAGCCCAACGTGATTTCAGAAAGGTTAGGTCCTGTACCACAAACACTCTGGCAGCAGGTGATAAGTGGACGGCATGTTGGGACCTCCAAATTCCTGTTCATGTCATTTTCCTGGATTTTTCAAAGGCCCTCGACACAGTCTCACATACCATTCTTATTCACAAAATAGCAAGGTTGGGCATCAAGGGACAAGTGCTTTCATGGTTACAGGACCATCTAGACGGCAAACAATTCTGTACAAAAGCCAACAGAGTCTGCCCGACTCGAAGGATATCATCATCTGGTGTATCACAAGGAGCGATTCTGGGTCCGTTGCTATTCCTTCTTTTTGTGGACGACCTCCCACTCAATCTCAGCTCCCCAATTCTACTCTACGCTGATGTCAAGTTATGGAGAGCTGTGACGACGGAAATAGAATCATGTGCACTGCAAAGTGACCTCGGATTACTTGCAGAGTGGACGAACAAAAGCAGACCAACATTTAATCCGGATAAGCGCCAAGCCATCTTTCTCCGCACTCCTGACTCTCAGAATGTGTCCTATTCTCTCTGTGTAGCACAACTTTCCGACACCACCACGGAGAAAAACCTAGGACTAATACTGGCCAACAAGCTAGACACAAGCTCTAATTATCCGGGAGATGCCTGCAGGGCCTAAGGAGTGCTGCACATCATGCGCCGAAATCCAGGTGCCCTGACCTCGGAACCCTTTTTGAAGCTGTACAAGACCTGCAAACAACCTCACTCAGAGGTTCCCAACGTGAGTGCACCACGATATCTGAAAAGCGGTATGAACCTCCCGGAGAAAGTCCTAAAGGCCAGTCACAAAGGATGTTGTTCGGATTAGGGGAAAACCATATCAGGACAGGCTTAAAGGTCTAGGACTCTACTCTCTAAGCCACCGTAGATTAAGTGGTGACTTGATAACGGCTCACAAAATACCAAGCAACCCAAGTCATCTGAACAGTGGAATCCTATTGAACGGCCACTGTGGGGATCCTCATGGTAACCCAAGGAGAATCGCCCACCAAAGGGCGAAAACCAGCGTGCGGTCGCACTTCTCCCTGCTAATTTGCGGCCACTGGAACACATTGCCCACCAAGGCTGCTACTACTGAGTCTGTTGACAACTTCGAGAAGAAGTTGGACAGTTACGCAGAGACGCACGGTTTGCGCTCATCCAGCTGAGATATGGACTAAGCTGACACTACCTACTAACTCACCACGGCTAACCTATTATGGAATACTTTGTAACACCACTATCACTGGGAAGTTAGCCCAACCTTATACTTCCCCTCCAGTTACTGTCTCCTACTGATCGAATTACTATCCCTACTCCCATCCGTCCCATAGTGTTATTCACTCCTGTTCCTACTGACTTCACGTTCCCTTTTTCCTAATCGTACATTTCTTTTCCTATTTGTTTCTCTCTGCACTTTCTCTCCCTTGAGCCCTCTAGACATATTTTCCACCTCCTTTTTACAACCAGTCCGACCAATTGTCTGTTGGTATGACACTTGAGGAACCCATCTGCACGTGAGTCCTTGGGAGAAAACAAACAAACAAACAACAACGCTCCCTACAAATGTAACCAACACCCAGCCACCCGTCGGGTTAACCAGAGCTACAGTAGCCCAGTGGATTGGAATCCACCAAAGAACTGGAACCATTCCGCAAGCCCTAGAAGCGGGCGCAAAGAAACCAATTAGTTGACACTGGCTTGTAAAATGATATTGGATATTGTTGTGGTAACCTTATGGCTGCGCGGCATATTCATCAGCCGTTGCGTGTCCAAATTGACAGCTGTCCGGCATACTTCTTATAGGATCTTTGACGCCTAGTTGGCAAATTGTTAATATATAGGCAGTATTTGTGCAGGTGAGATGTAAGCATCTTACTTATGTGCTTTCACACTTTTATGCGGCGTGCTAGCATCTAGGACTACTGTCTGCTACCTAGCAAGCGTTTTTACGCCGACCTAGGTGGGGGTCAGGAATCCAGAATCAGTCAAACATTCCGGTCCTGGTAATCAGTGTAGCAACTTCACCTTTGTTTCGGTATCGGTTGTCAAAGTTTTTTAGTTGGCCTCATTCCCTGCTTTCTCCGATTCAACAACTCACAGTTGTTGTAGAGATAACGCAATATCGACCCTGGAAACGAGAAGAATAGGTAAAGCGAGTAGAGCTATCAAATGCGGCCCAAAAGATTGTGTGGTTATGCTGATGTGAATGCAATGATTAAGTCCTTTTCGAAACGTCCTCAGTAAATAACAGTTCCATTATGTTATACATATAGAATAGAACCATAATGGAATCGTACTCTACGATAGTTACCAAATTCTACCATCGTAATGTTTTTCTGACTAGCTACTTAGCACTGGCTACTAAGCACTTGTCTAGGGATAGCGAAACTGCTCAGTTGAAAAGATTGATTGCTATCCAGAATATTGGGTTAAGTTTGCAATTGGAGCTAGAGTGGTTAATCGACGAGCCAGCGCAAGATTAATATTAAGACCTTGGGTCAAATGTTGCTAACCCGAATGTCGATCTGGCCCTAGGTATTCTTTTAGGGAATGTCTAAAGGTTCATCACGATGATCTCTGATTGTCACTAACTGGGCACACATTTCTCCATGACTTGGATATGACCCTACTTCTTCGTTCGGTCCAGCGTTCCAAGTTAGCTAGTCGTAGGTTTTAGGACTTTTATTTCCTCATGAATTTCAAGCAGAGCCTGTTTTATTGGGATGGCACAAACCGGCCAGTTATGAAATCTTGATTATGCCCACGACCACTATGGTAAGTGACAACTTACACTTGTTTATGATGAGTTTAGTAGGTCCAATGTAACGTAACGTTGTGACAATTTGATGGGTTTCTGATGTATTTGTTTTCAGTAACCACTTAACACGAATTTTTCCATATGTCTATTCCTATGATGGATGGTTATTTTCACGGCTTAGGGTGGCAATTAATTTGTTCTCGGACTTATCATAATTGATCAGTAGTGGGTAACCATCTCTTGAAAATATTTTTTATTGCTAGGTTCTTGGAATTAGTATATTAATGGAGTCAAAACGTTTTGAACCTGTTTCTTTACAACAAACTATCGTAAATCTGTGTCATATTGTTTACTTGTGAAGTCATATAAAGTTCGTCAAAGAACGGAGTTTGTAAAGGAAACAGAGTTGCTGAGAAGGGAAGGAAAATAGCATTTGCTATAGGGAAATAAGTAATCAATTAAATGAGCTCACTAAACTAGGAGACATGGTAATCATGATGATTTGGCAGTCAGTCAGTATCAACATTTGACCTACCATTACTGCATAATAGTCCGGTCGCCACACTTCATATCCATATGTCAAGCGAGAATGCGCCACGATGAAAGATGAGAAATAAGGAAGGATGCAGTCAAAAGCTATAGAATATCGTAGGAAAAGTAGTCATGAAACTAATGAAATTCGGTATGAACATTAGGATAGAGATAATTTGGGATTAAAAGCGCCGTCCCTCGTAGTCCATTCTTTGAATACAACTAAGTTGTGAAAGCAAAATGTCTTGTTTTGTAGCATTTTGATTTTGTAGATAAACGTGTGTACAGATAAAATCAAATCATACATTTATCGAGCAAATTTAAGTGAGAATCATTGAAGTGACCGAGATTAATTACCACAATACAGGCTGTACTTGCGTAGCTAGGGGCACCAAATTAAAGGAATGAACTCATACTGCTACCGCCGTATTACACTGGTATCACTGTTAGTATAACCTAAGGGAAAAAGACAAAGTTATGGGTTTTGAACAATACTCGGTTAGTGAAACTTTCACCGAAAAAGATATCTTCCTAATGAACTTCCAAAATAGGCTGTCGCAAGGGATCAGCTGACCTACATTCATGCTCTGCTTGCTCATCCAGTCCGAACCTTAATGAAATGTATACACCAAACATTCAAATCACCAACTTGAGAAAGTTTGTTTCAAACCTGAAACGATGTAAGGAAGCAGGTATCAAATTGTTGAGTAGAGTGACTCGGGTACTAGGTAGTGTTTGGGAATAAAATGTAGTCCTGTCAGAAAGGTCTACATCACCTCACTCCGGTTTATAAGAAAGGAAGGCAGTTTCGTGACAAACAATAGAATCATATAGGGACTTGTTATTTCCTGCTGTTGGTTGATTTTCAAACTGAACTGATTGGCGTCTGGTGACATATGTGCTTCTACATGGATGCGTCGATGGTGCCTAAAGATTTATCATAATATAATTTGCTACGTGGTGGTTCAGGGAAATCCAGAACAGAGATTTTGTCCCATGTGAGAATTGTCGGCCGTGTGTATCTGCATCCAGTTGAGCCAGCTCGAATAAAAATTGAAAGTCCGTGTATTATGATACACCCGTTTCGCAAGAGGTGACACTCGTGATTCAGCAGCTTAGCGGATAACTCTTTGGAGTTTGAAGCGTTGGGCACAGGATTCGAGTCTTAGGGAAAACACTACCACCCAATGGCATCCAGACCACGAGTCCCAAATAGGGCGGAGTGCGGTTCCTGGATTTCGCTGCTAGCCGGCAGTTAGAAAATTATATCTCAAGGGAATCAGTTTAACAAATATCCTGAGGACCGCAGTTACACAATGACTGACAGAAACTGAAGAACAGCAAACACAATAAAACTAGGCAGGTTTCAAACCCAATGTTGTGGATACGTTTTAGAACATAGGCATACATATCAGTGGCTGTATTTCCTGAGCTGAAGGCGGCATTCGACTCTATTTCCCGACAGGTGTTGGGGAAGTGTCTGCTTGTGTAGGGAATACCGAGCAAGAATGTGACGCTGCTCAAAGCTCTACTAGAACTCACACAGCTGTATAAAGAGCTTATAGAGAGTTGTCTTCTTATTTGACGACAACAGGTGGCTTCTGCCGGAGATACCCATTGTCACTGTTGCTGTTCATCTTCCTTGAGGGTGTATTAATGAACATGACCGTAGGTACTAACCACTTCACAGAAACTGGCCTACTCCCTGTATGACATCTGGCTGAATTGGAGTACCGTGACAAAATGCAGCGCCTCTTGAACCATAGGTATTTTCAAGGTTTGGATGATGACCAGATACATCGAAGATAAATCTAAGCTATTTTACAGAGTACACGAAAAATTCTACATTCGATTTGTCGATTTGATTTATAACAAAAAATAAGTGGATAGAATCAGAGTGATATCAAAGAAGATAATGAATAGTGAGAGAATAAAGAATCTGAAGATAACAATCAGTGCAAAGATTCAAACGCTAGAAGATGTCAGGGAGTAAATACATCTGCGCCATTGTGACCAATTTTCTCCCATGTCACCAACAGTCCTCAACCACTGATTCCTATCGTCTCAGGGACCACAACCACACTGTCTACATCTGCATACACGACTCAAACCAAAAGCAAGACATTTCATCAACTAGTGTCACGTTTTGCTGTGTCCACCCTTGAACCCTCTTCCAAGCTAATCCAACTTCTGTCAGCATGGCATGTCGAGGTAGGTGGTGGTTCGGCGTGCCAGTAAATGTCCAAGCCATCACATTGTATCAATACCTGTATCTTATTTCTCATGGGTAGTCGCTATAGTAATTGTGAAGAAGCCGAAATGCTGTATTCGAACCTACGATGATTCCTCCACGACACTTAATTAAACCTTAGAATCGAATAACTATCTACTACCGATGACTAACAAAATCGTCACCATCCTGAACGGTGTAATGTGTTTCGCAAACAAGTAATCTGGTGAACAGGTACAAGCAGAAGTTGCACAGGAATGTCGCGAGTGACTAACCACATACACCTATCGCGGATTGTTTCGGTATATTAGACTTCCATTTTGAATTAAAACAGCACCAGCGACCTTCTACGCAATCCATACCGTCCTTTCAGGAACACCAAGAGCCGTAACATATTTGGTAGATATACTAATTGCGGAAGCTTCATCAACTGAATTACATAAACACATCGAACAAGCGCTGGGACAAAATGGAATGAATAGTTTTCGTTTACACGATAAAAAATTACAGTTTTTCAAGTAACATACGTGTAAAACTTGAGCACTGTGGTAGAATTTCATTCCATATTAGATTTGTCAATTTGATTTATAACACACAGTGATCTAGTATTATTTACTTGATGACGTTTCAAGCACAAATTATTGCTCATAATCATATCAATGTAACCACACTACTTTCGACATTTGATTTTTATAATTATGTCGCCTCATATGAATTGTTTTTATTGATGGTGAAATTTTGCATATCTTAGGTATAGGTGTTGCGTCATTTCTATTACATGTGTTGCGTGTTGACTCGAAGAACAAAGATTCAGTAATCAATCTCTCTCCACCTAATCATTTTGGACTTAAGTACAATGGCTTTATCCCACCCTATTGTGTGGTTGTGTGTTAATGCGTGCATTGTAATAGCCGAGTCCTTTTTTCTAGATTATTGATCTTATTCAGGTCTGTCATTCTATACTTAGCTAAGTTCCTATGTTCGGCTATTCTAACTGACCTCGACCGCCTAGTTTGACCTATATACTTGACCTCACAGTCATTGCATGGGATATGATAGATTAGATTAAGGTTCATGAACCAGGTTTTCTCATTAGACTCATAGTTGACTTCAGAAATACCCCAATATATGAACTAGCAAAGTACTTAGCATCGATATTATATCCTATTAGGAACCGTCCAAATTCCAGACCAGTAAACTCTCACGAGTTAAAACTTAGGCTTAATGACCTACACACAGAAGAGGATGAAAGAATGGTTAGCTTCGATGTAACAAGTCTGTATACTAAAATATCAATCAATATGGCACTGGAGGCAGTCAGAAGTCAACTAAATATTGACTCAGAACTTACAGAACTAAGATATCGGTTGATGAGATCATATCAGGCGTACAGTTGTGCCTGACCTCCAGTCTTCAAGTTTCAGGACAAAATATATAAACAAACAGAAGGAGTAGCAATGGGATCGTCAGTATCCCCGATCGTACCAGATATATTTATGGATAGATGGGAAAACATGGCTTTACAAACGTTTAGTCCTGCACCAAAAATATGGTGGGGATATGTGGATGACACATTTACTGCGTTGAAATCGGAACATATCGACGACTTCCTCACACATGTAAACTCAGTGGTAGGGGCAATCCAATTCACTTACGAGGTAGAAAATGAACAAACAGAATTACCTATGTTGGATTGCAGAATAAAACGAAGGATAGACGGTGGTTTGGGTACTACCGTCTACAGAAAACCGACACATTTTAACAGGTATCTGGACTTCAAGTCATACCATCCAATGTCAGTTAAGGCAAGCTTAGTCAAATGTCCAAGTGATAGAGCTAGAAAACTGACTAGTCAGTGCAAGGACCTAAACAAGGAATTAAAACACGTAAAAGAAGCGCTAATAGTTAATAATTATCCTGCACACTTTATTAAGAAATTCGTACGGACACACAAGAAACGAAAAAATAACAGTCACATGAGTACGAATAATAACGACAACATCAATAAAAAGGAGTTCACAGCCTTCATTGTGTTATCGTATGACGGTACATTGGAAACTACGTAGGATCTTCAACAAAGCTGGAATTAGGGTGGCATTTAAACCTACAAACCCACTCAGAGATAAGCTTTGTTGGCTTAAGGATCCGATAGAACCAACTAAGCAAAATAATCTAATCTATCAAATCCCATGCAATGACTGTGAGGTCAAGTATATAGGTCAAACTAGGCGGTCGAGGTCAGTTAGAATAGCCGAACATAGGAACTTAGCTAAGTATAGAATGACAGACCTGAATAAGATCAATAATCTAGAAAAAAGGACTCGGCTATTACAATGCACGCATTAACACACAACCACACAATAGGGTGGGATAAAGCCATTGTACTTAAGTCCAAAATGATTAGGTGGAGAGAGATTGATTACTGAATCTTTGTTCTTCGAGTCAACACGCAACACATGTAATAGAAATGACGCAACACCTATACCTAAGATATGCAAAATTTCACCATCAATAAAAACAATTCATATGAGGCGACATAATTATAAAAATCAAATGTCGAAAGTAGTGTGGTTACATTGATATGATTATGAGCAATAATTTGTGCTTGAAACGTCATCAAGTAAATAATACTAGATCACTGTGTGTTATAAATCAAATTGACAAATCTAATATGGAATGAAATTCTACCACAGTGCTCAAGTTTTACACGTATGTTACTTGAAAAACTGTAATTTTTATCGTGTAAACGAAAACTATTCATTCCATTTTGTCCCAGCGCTTGTTCGATGTGTTTATGTAATTCAGTTGATGAAGCTTCCGCAATTAGTATATCTACCAAATATGTTACGGCTCTTGGTGTTCCTGAAAGGACGGTATGGATTGCGTAGAAGGTCGCTGGTGCTGTTTTAATTCAAAATGGAAGTCTAATATACCGAAACAATCCGCGATAGGTGTATGTGGTTAGTCACTCGCGACATTCCTGTGCAACTTCTGCTTGTACCTGTTCACCAGATTACTTGTTTGCGAAACACATTACACCGTTCAGGATGGTGACGATTTTGTTAGTCATCGGTAGTAGATAGTTATTCGATTCTAAGGTTTAATTAAGTGTCGTGGAGGAATCATCGTAGGTTCGAATACAGCATTTCGGCTTCTTCACAATTACTATAGCGACTACCCATGAGAAATAAGATACAGGTATTGATACAATGTGATGGCTTGGACATTTACTGGCACGCCGAACCACCACCTACCTCGACATGCCATGCTGACAGAAGTTGGATTAGCTTGGAAGAGGGTTCAAGGGTGGACACAGCAAAACGTGACACTAGTTGATGAAATGTCTTGCTTTTGGTTTGAGTCGTGTATGCAGATGTAGACAGTGTGGTTGTGGTCCCTGAGACGATAGGAATCAGTGGTTGAGGACTGTTGGTGACATGGGAGAAAATTGGTCACAATGGCGCAGATGTATTTACTCCCTGACATCTTCTAGCGTTTGAATCTTTGCACTGATTGTTATCTTCAGATTCTTTATTCTCTCACTATTCATTATCTTCTTTGATATCACTCTGATTCTATCCACTTGTTTTTTGTTAACTACTGTGAAATGTGTCAACATTGAGAGGATGAATCTGAGTGCGAGGTTCTACGTTGATTTTGTATGTCAGTCAGTTACTACTGAAACTAAAGTGGAAATACACTCCACCACAATGCCTAAGTCATACTTCTTTTGCTACCTTGATTCATTAATATGTATTATGAGATATCAAGTTTGATCCCACTGCATAGTGGTTGATTTTCCTAATAAGTGACCTTTCTAATATTGATAGATTCAACAAGTATAATTAGTTCAGAAAAAATCGTCCTCAGTCTCTGCAAATCATCACTGACATTCTGCTGGATAGTGTAATTTCCTTCGTGCTTATTAATCTTATTCATGCCGCTTTTTTGTGTAAGACTCATAGAGTACTGTGTGACGTTTGTTCAAAGTTGTTGATTAAACTACTCACAAAGAACTCTGTACATTTTTTCTGCTTTTCTCCTACTGGTTATTTGCTGTCGTCTGACTAGTTGACAAATGGAGATATGGTTTATTGGTCTATGCACTCGACTTCCAGCTGATGGTTCACGGGTTCGCACCTAACTCCACCTACTAAAGTTTTAGATCCCAGTTAGCCCGCACGCAAGTGTGGCTGAAAACTTACCGCGTGAACGTGCACGAAGTTGTTGAATGAACTTTGATTTTTTTCTCGATTGGCCGATACGATGAATTGACTATCAGTTGTATTATAAAAATGTTACCTTTACTTATCGCTGACCGTAGCTTACATGTTTTGCCGTTACCACCACCTCAAATGTCAGTGCCAAATTTATACTAATTAATAATCCCTGTTAAGTACGGAACCATTCAATATTTTTGTCATGAATAAAGATAGTCTCCTGACTCTTAATGACTGGGGTGGATGAATCCAGAAGAAACTAGCACACTCAACATTTGCATTTGTTATCAGTAGCAGCTAAACCCCATTTTTAATACTAGCGATGAAAATTCACAGTGTAATGTGGAATGCACTGTAAATACGGTCGACTTGTTGCTTCCAAAATTGCAAGGTAACTTAGTGAACACCTGGCCAGTCAAGGGTTCGAACCCCCATCCTACACAAAAAGATCGAACTAGCCAGGTACTATCACTAGCTCTAGAATGCTTATAAAGTTCCGGGGTGGTAGCTGACACTTCTTGATTGCCCACAGCGTGGAACTTTAATTTTCGCAATGCCTGAAAAAGTATCATTAGTAATAGTAGTGTGTCCATAGAGTTCAATGGACACCTTCTTGATGCTGGTCACTCAATCTTTTTGGAGGCATGATATTTAACCTTGGTTAATTTTAGTTCAGCTGCAAAACTCATAGCACCCTTACTGGAATCCCTCAGGGCAGGGATGACTACTATTTTTAGTTCTGATCTTTTTTAATCCTCTTTTTTCCACAGAAAACGTGGCATCAACGTGGTACTCCTGGTCATCCGTAGGAAAAACCTTATTGCTGTCACACCTCATCCAGCCAGAAGTACAACTTCGCTCTCAGACCCCAATCATAGCGTAGTAATTTACATCATATTAGCAGCTGCTTTTTGTCCCATCACTCTTCAGCAAACTTTTCTGGTATGGTAGGAAATCAAGGAGCGAACGTCTCAGACAACCTATCTAATCAGGTGATTGTGATATGCGAACCAGACCACTACATCAGTGTAGCAGCTATCGGTCCCAAAATAAAGGACTCACTGTGTAGTACATGAACCTATACATAATTATTAGCAACACTTCAGAGATTGAAGGCTGCCACCATTTTAGCCTGAATCCATCTCTACAGTAAGTAAACGCAATTTTTGGCATGGATACATGCTTCCATTCCGTATTGTCCTAGCCACTTATTCTACCTTTTCTTCACCTCTCTCTTTGTAGGATTATGCTTATTACATTATGATGAGAATATCGCATAGCTTGGAAAAAATCTATTCTTTTTCAGGTTACATCTTCAACAGTTTATAAGCGATAGTTCACAATCAAAAATTATAAAATGTGTACCTTGACTTACACTTGTTTTTCTCCTCATAGGCAAAACTTTATTCCTCAGAAAATTCGCAACAGATTAACTTCCACTACCAAATAATATTGTTCAACTCAAATACTTGTTTGTCATGAGTTACGAAAGCTATGTCAATATGTACCACCCCAACTCTGTTCAACAGTCCGGCTACTACAATCCATCTGAAATGTAAGTTTGTTAGATCAAAAAGTCATAGCCATGTGAATAGGTTGATTATGATTTGAATGATGAGAAGAATTTCATGCGTTATTTACGACTCAGTGTTTTTTCAATATGGCTTCACCAGTGGAATAAATTTCTAGTTGCTTTGGTCACCACTGATTCCTGCTATCTTTGACATTTGAAAAAACCAAGTTTTCAAACAAGTTGAGCAAGGAAACATTTTTCAGTCACCTTCTCATCATTCACCCTACGCCAATGTATGTTTCTTTTGCTGATATCACATAAAACACCGATTTAGTTAGCAAGTAATCACTAGTTTCCAAGACGTCAAGATGTTAGTTAATTATCAAAAGTAAGATTGCAGTTACGAAAAACAATAATTATGAATAATGTCATGGAAGTTAAAGCTAATTTTTACTCGATTGATAAGTTGCATGATAATTATAAATGATAATCAGTTTAACTATCTGAGATAGACGTGATTTGGCAGACTTGTATTGATACTAGTTGCTGATTGAAAAGGAAATAAAAATCTGGGCAGTGGTTGCTGGTTTGAATTTTGCCGCCGCCTAGATTTTCATTTCCCTTTTGATCATCATCCATTAGTGATAGATAATAAGCCAATAATAAAGTATCTGTATGTAACATATTTGTGTAATAGGTCATGAGTCACACTTGTGTAATGCCCATCGCTTCAATCGCCAAAGCGTTGCCCACTAGAGGACAAGAATCCACCTCTTGTGCAACGGGTACCAGATAGGTCATTTAAGTCGGGGTAAGAAAAAGTCAAAAGCGGATGCGTACATCATGGATAAGATAAGTAATACCATAAAAATCTTGAACTATTCATTTGTTCTAATATGATGTCCAATTATGACCAGATATAGTTTGGAAATTATTGTCCTTGTCTACTTTATACTCAACCACAATGGATTGCGTCTAAAAAAATGTGACAATGACCTAAGCAACTCGTACTCCTAGTGTAACTGGATCTCCAGAAGCTCTTTACTAAGTGAACTCGCATAAAAGGGGTTAACTTTGGTGGGCTTATCTTTATTTTGTGGACGCCAGTACCTGTTGACTGAAGAACATGCAGCAAGAATGTTCCATGGAGTGCTCTTCTCGAGACGTTTCTTAACTGTTGTGTTGTAATCTTCCTGATAATGTTGAGTAGAAAATACATCTTTCTAAAGCTGTCGGTACTGTGTTTTCCATATTTGTTGAAGTGATATGCTTTGATAGGAATTTATCTGGATATTCATTTTTCCTAAGCAGATAGTCATAGATCAGTGACCAAAGTATTTCGTTGAATTTCTTCTGAACTTTAGAGATAAGAAACTCAAATTGAGTATTGTGACTGGTGTACACCTCGTTGTTCGAGACATGAGAGTTCAGCTCGCGATAGGGAAAAGTATGACGTCGGTCTTTCCGGACAAATGATTGGTTTGGCATTCTGTCGTAATTGCAAAATGGATTGTGTTGCTGCACAACATCAAACAGCAGATTTAAAACATCTGCCTGTCTGTTGGAATATTTCGGATGCTGCCGATTTATTTGATTACATATAGAGCGTAATGGCATCCGTGTTAAGCTTAGGCTTTCAAACCAGTCAAGGCATAGAAGAGTGTGGTCTGGATCCTTTATTAGCATACACCACCAATATTTTCACTTGGAAAAGAAATCCGACATTGTAGCTATTCCGTTAGTTTTAAGTGACCACTATTTTCTTAATAATTGGCCTCCCAAAATCAATCGACAGCCGCTTCGAAATGATAGTGACGTCGGACGCTTTATCTAATTGTAAATACACTGAATGACTGCTTATATGGAGGCCAATTAATTTCATTTTAGCTGTTGCTTAACCTTGGAAGATGGCTACCAGAGTTACTCATTTTCTGATCGTTTCGGAATGTGATCTGTGCCGATGTTTTGAAGAGAATCTAGGTGCGCGTTGCCGACTGGCTACAGTATTCGTCTTTGTGACTCATTGTATAGTTGTGATATGTATGTTGTTTAAGAGGGGAGAGGTCGAAGGAAGCACCACGTGCCACAATGCCAGCAAGGTGAAAGTTGTTTCTTCGGTTTCATGTTAGAGTTTCTGGGGTAGCTTTGCATATTTGGAGGTGAATCAAGAGGCGTTCTATCACAAGCTTTGTGAGAATTTGTCGTCCAGCCAACTGCATGTACTTCAGACCAACCCTGTCGCCTCTATTGGAATAAGGAGGTGTCGAGTTAAAGATTTACTACACGCTGATACTCTGCAGATATCTCATCAAGAGTTAATGTTAGATCTTGATCCATGCGATTCACCAGTCCCATTCTAATATCAGTGGATTTTCGCTACTTCAGGCTGCATATCAAAATAAAGGATTTGAATTGATCACTAAGATTTTAGTCTAAATCGTTTGTCGTTGCTGATACTGACACATGCTATGGTGCCAAACAATACACTGGCTACCTCTCCGCTTCTGTCAACCAGTACCAGGGCAAACGAACAGTAAGCAGTATGAAAGCTTCTGGGATGATATCCTTAACACATATCGAAGCCACGGAGGCTAATTTTTTAAGGTAACCATCTAAAAACAAAATTACATACATGTTCTTACGGGATGAGACCAGAACGAAACCCGATCGGTCAGTCGCGAATTAGTTTTTCTTGCGACAAAATATCAAAGCTCAGAGAACGCCAAACCACTAGTTTTTCATGCGTTTTGGAGAACCTACAAAGGATGATATTGATATAAACCAATATTTTTGACGCTGCTTAATGGCTAACGGATACCTCAGTGATTATCACACATTATGGAAACTTTGTTCTAGTGATAGGCATAACAATGGTTTCATCTCAGATTGGTGAAGCACTCAGTTCTTCATACTTTCCGACACAGTGTAGTCAGCCTCCTGACAACAATTTCACCTCGATGCTTAGAAGAAACTGGGGAAAATCCATGTGGGTAGGTCGCTTTAAGCAGTGTGGAATTTCTTTTCATCAGTTGGTTCGGTGTTAACTGACCATGAAGCACAACACACTTTACACATTTTGTGGCTTGTGTAAATGATGTCGTAATATGCTTGAAAAATAGTAATATTGGTTGATATTAGTGAACATCCTTTGACTGTTTGCTTTTATACATTACGTTTCCTGTTTTATAACATATATAGCAACTGAATAATTCATTTACACTCTAATGACTTTGTGTTTTAATCGTTGATTCTTATCTTTTTTTTCTCTGTTTTCACAGACAATTTAGTCAGTTTTCTTATGAAAATGTGAATCCAGCCCCAGCACAATCTGTCAATCTGCCTTTCTCACAAGCATCATACTCTTCCGTTACAGTTTACAAAGGACAGGAAGAAGATTATGAGAATGAACCGCCACTTTTAGAAGGTAAGTATGATCGAATTTTTATTGCGATACTTTCAAGTCAGCACTCGTCTTTTACTTAACACACGTGTTATAAAAGTGTGCTACAATGTGTTGCAACTTGGCAATAAAACACATGGTTGAGTCACATTTGTTGTTCATAATCTTATGATGCTTTCTGTTCATTCAAGTCAATGGAAATGAAGTGACGTTTGAAACCAGAATCTGTTATAAACCTACGATTACGAAACAAAAGAACACAAGTTTGTTGCTGGGAGGAGGTCGTACATTTCCAATTGAATTCCAGTAACTAGGTATGTCACGCAACTAGCCAATATGGTCGTATGCCAGCCCTGAAAAGTAACGCGGCACCGTCCTAAATGGCGAGGTTGCTAGACCACGTATCACCAGCTAAACAATTTCGTTGAAGCTTGTGAAAAGCGTTATCAATGCCGAACGTCATTGGATTGAAGGCTATCGATTTACTAACTATTACATGAATATGACGAATAAGGGCTTTCCTGACAGGCTACGGAGACAGTCAGTGACAGTACTTTAGGCAGGTTAAGTTCAAAGTAGAGCACATATGGTATGTAAGTAGTCAACAGTGATTAGGTTATCAATCTGCTTCTCCGAACAACTTTATGTAGAAAAAAAGACCCCAGGGAATGAATTTGTTTCCATCAATACCATTTTCAGAAGCTATGCAATCATACTTATGTATAACTGATTTTGTGTGCTGTTGGGTTGTTGCTACTTTAGTTGAGGATTTGATCCGTATGAAATGGTTTTCTTTATACTCCAGCTTCCAACTTTTGCGAATCTGTCTTAGTGATCGGAACATTTAAAAATGCAAGTTTTCTTACTTGATTCCTCTTCATTTGTGAATTTTATTTCGTCGAAAATGTTGTTGATTGATTCGTAAACCTTTTCCGATTCGTTTCTTTTAATTATTGCAAACGTGTCATCTGTGTATCTGACCTAAAGTTTTGGTTTGATCGGTGGTAGTACCACAGTCTTCAATCTTCGCATTACTGCTTTTGCAATTAGTTTTGTTATAGGTGATATCATTGGTGTTCTTGTCAGTTTGTAGAGTTTGTCGTGGAATTGAAAATCTGTAGTTAGGCATAAATCAATTGTTTCCATCAAACTTGAACAATGCAGTTGGTGTGTTCCGAGAAGTGTGCATCATTGTTGAGGAGAAAAGTCATTGTATCCTTAACCAGTTTCGGTTTAACTGAGGTGTATAGAGCTTTAACGTCGAAAGTCATAATCAGTCCGTCGTTATCTATATGAATACGCTTGATCTTTTCCAAAAATTGCGTCGAAGAGTTGACAGAGTGGTCACATGATCCTACCAAATGTTTCAGTTTTCTGAGTAGTTCTTTTGAAAGATTATATGCTTGGGGTTCCTGAAAGTGAAACAGTTGGTTGAAGCGGGATGTTTAGTTTTTTTAATGTTTAGTCTATCATAGGAACGTGGGGAACAGATCCATTAAATTTCATTTTCCATTACTCTTGTTTGGTAGTGTGTCACGCTTTGACGAGTTTGCTCAAGATCTTAGTGATGTGAAAGTCAAACTTTTGAATGGGATTTGTCTCAGTTGGTTTATAAACATTTTGACCCATGAGTAAGTCTTCAGCCTTTTTGATGTAGTCGTCCCTATCCATGACTACTCTGGTGCGCCCTTTATCAGCTGGAATTATAACGATGTTCTTTTTATTCTTCAGTTTCTTAAGACTTCTCTGTTCTTGATAGGTTATTTGAGTACAGTTTTGCTTCCGCCTGGTTAGGGGGCGAAAATGTGCTGTATCTCTTGTTGGGTCTCAGAGTTGAGTCCTCGAATCTTTGTGGATGACTTTAGGGATGCGAAGAATTCTGGTCCTGAGGAGTCTCCCGTCTTTTAGTTCAGTCTTTTCTGAAGTTCCTTGGATTTGGCCGGAGGTCGTTCAGACAAGTTGGCTACCCAGTCACTTTCTTCTTCTCCTTCTGATGCTCACGATTTTGAAATCTTGGCAAGTTACTCTTGGATAGTATTTTTCTCTGTTCTTCGTGTCGTCTGCTTGATTTTCCAATCAGTTACCGGCGTTTTAAAGTGTTTTGTTATGCGTATCCCCAGAAGCTTTCTCTTTTGGCTGTCTATCATCTGTTAATATTTCCAAATTCTATAATATGTATCGGTGATCATCAGTTGTACCGTGTATCTTCCACTCCTTTTCACTAATTTGCAGCCCATTGGACAGTCGATAGATGGTCTACATCGGACACTAATTGGCAGAACATGCTGACGTAGACACTCATAGAGGAAACATAGGTGTTCTCTTATGGAGGGAGACCTATCCCTTAGCAAAGTTCTCCCATTTCCGAAAAAAAGTTTGACACCCGCAGGATTATGAGATGATAGAGAGTATTTGTAGCTCAGGAGGTGGTGCCGTGTTCCCTGAACTGGAAGGCTATCGTGAAAGCTACTAAGACACTTGTGGAGGAAAACCCAAAAAACGTGAAAATATTTGACAACATAAATAAATAGGTATGAGTTGAAATCAAGAACTTGTACCAAAGTGAAAAGGAAATGAGAAATGTGTAACCGTATTAAAAACGTTCATGTAAGGACACCTGCAACCAGAAAGACACAGTAGCTACGGGGTCCCTATCAGGTGCACTCTTTATAAGTATGTTTATGTTCAAACTGGAAACAACTATGCTCAACCCAGGTATGAAGCAGTTTAACTTCCGCAGAAAATATTACAAAGATATACTCATGGTTTGTGATCAGAATTTTAACTTGCAGAACTTTCTGCAGTTTTTCAGTAAACTGCACTCCTTGATCAACTCTGCAATAGGGATGGAATCACCTTCGAAAATATCACTCCTCTATGTATTATTAACAGGAAGAGATAATGAAACACTTAAAAAAATCCATTTGTCGGAGATCTACTTGATACAGACGTGTGACAAATATTCACAATTGTATTGTCATCAGCCAAAAAAATAAATCTAACTCATTCCCTTTGTTCTCAGATCCAGAGGATTTTTCCTCCTGACTCCAGAAGACAAATGCAACTCTCACTAGAAATTAACACCTAAAAAGATTCATTGGTAAAAAACCTGTATCGGAGGAGAAAAAGCCATTTTTGAATCGTAAGGTCAATGGAATGCAGCATATGAGTTATTAATACGCAGACTAATTAAGGTTGTCCATAAAATTCTATACAGCCATTCTAAGAACCATCTATATTGATCACTCAGTAATAAACACATGTACTCAAGCCAAACTGTCAGTAACTTGCATGTGCATATATCAATTCACCCTCTCCTTTTGAACTAAGTACAATGGCTGTACGCAAAGATAGATTCTCCAACACTGGTGCCAACACCTAGCATGGCTTAGTAAAGGTCGATGCAAACCAATCAATGGCTCCGTACCACACTACTTATGTGAGGAAGGGCACATTTCCAGAAGTTTTTTTAGCAGTAGTCTGAAAAGCACAATATAGTCTTCCGAATGTGGGATTAAACACTCACTTTGTATCATTGAGGCTCTGACAATACAAAAATTGAAACCGGAACTGTGTATATACAAACACCTTTGCCATTCACTGTCCTTATTCTCTTCTTACATTTTTGAGCTTTAGCATTCGTAAACCTTACTAACCTTTTTCATTTTCATGTTATTACGTAGACGTTTTTAGTTTAGTTACAAATTTTCCATTCCCTTCCATACTGACAATTGTTAACCTACTTTGGTACAAGTTCTTGACTTCCACTCATATTTACTTATTCGTGTTGTCAAATATTTCCACATTTCTCATGTAATTTCCATTCCTGTATTATTTTTCTGGCCACAACATACTAAGAATTACTGACTGACAAATTGTTAGAAGGCCTCAGATTCTCATTAAACATTGTTTATTAATCTAAACATTTTTAAATTGCCGTTTTCGCTCCATTTTCGCGATATAGCCAGTAGTTCATTTCCCTCTCCATTTTCAAGGTAATTCGCTGATTGGTTAATGCCTACTTTTATTGTGTGTATGTTCCAAATTCTGGACATGGTTATATGTCATGTTTATATACAAACATGTTTTTGGGTTAATTCACTATTCTTGGAAAAATAAACTCAGCCATCCACCACTGTCTTTTCCATTTCCTCTGAGTTAGAGTCTGTGGATCTTGCTTTAACTGTCAGCCAAGCCTGCGTATTATATCCTCTCAGAATAAATAACACAAATACTCACATTTTTATCAGTAAATGTACACGCTGATTATATGTGAGTGCGATTGTGCAGCTTCTGAGAACGATATCATTGGAAACAAATTTATTGGCTGAAGTAATTCTTTCATGACTTAATGTGGATATTTAAATACTTGATTACACAATAATTCAATTGTAAACAGGGAAAAGAGATCGGATTTATTCGTAAATTCATGCGTTGAATGGTTTACGAGGGTGCTTTCAGTAAAGTACTTATATTCAAGAAGAACCTGTGTGCACACTGAAATACAATCGTCCACGATTTCATTCCGTTCATTAGCTTAGTGTACGTAATGTTGGATAGTTGAGAGGAATGAGCAAGTATTTTTACTTAAGTTTTTTTGATTTACTTATAGACTATAACTATGACTGTAATACTTACTTCAATTGTTTTGCTAACTGATGTTTAAGTACAATTACATGTTCGTAAAGTAAGTGCGGTAATACCTTACTTTGTAGATTTCTTCTCTCAAGTAAATAAATAATATCGAATTATGACTATTGCTGACACCAATTATATTGATGGGAATAAACTTATTTTATCACCGACCATTTTTAAACACTATGTGTCAACTAGAATGTTATCAGGTGAATTTACTATGTAGATGAAGCATATCCTATTTCTTGGAATTTAAGTGCTTAAAACTAAGTAGCATGGATTTACTTAGAAGTTATAGATAAACATTGAACATTAATTTCTCAAAATGACTTCATAATTCATCAGCTAGTTTTTTTTCGTGATATTTAAGATGATTTCAGCATCTAATAGAAACTAATCTCAATATCACTAAAAAGTAACAACGCGTTGACATGCAATTACATTATTGTATATAATGTTAGACAACAATTTATTTTGAAAAACTTTTCTTTTTTTTTTTAGAACTTGGCATCAACTTTAGTCATATTTTACAAAAGGTAAGTACTTAATTTCATGTGTAATCAGACTGTACCCTTTGGTTGATGATCTCATTTCTAACAGTTATCTAACTAATTTTCAGTCGTAGTCTTTTGTTTTATTCGCGTAGTTGACCCTAAATTTAGAGGTTATCTACTCAATTTTAGCATGCTTGACTAGTGTGTTCTCAACTAGTGAGAGGAGAATAATTAACTGATACCTTTGTCACTGTTGTCATCATATCAAACAATAATATTTTTTTATACGAAAGACTAAATGTTCTGACGTCCTGCAATTATTCTCCTAACTCAAAAAAAATCTACGGAGTTAGAATTTTTCTATCAACCGTTAAGTTTTAGATAATATAAAATCCATGATATCGTCAAACGCGTAGCTTCGCTTTTATGAAACTTGCATGCAATGGAATAACTGGATTACCGTTTCTGCATCAAGTTGCAACTCGCATCATGTTAAATTACACTGAAAAAACCTGGTTCTGATAAACCGAGCTATCTATATTCGGTTTCAACAGTACACCTTAACAACTCCTTAACAAAACAAAAAAACAATATCAAAATAAGACCAGGCATTACTGCCCAACTGTCCGAGTTGCCACAACTCAAATCAGTACATCAAGTAGAAAGACAGTGAAGCTGAAGATGATAGGAAAATTCAGTCAAAAGAAATACAAAGTACGAGAAGAAAGAAAGAATGATTGACAAAATGGGGAGATTCGGCATAGCGTCGTTAAGATGAGGATAATGTGTGTATACATCTGCACCACTGTCATCGGTTCTCAGCCATGTCACCTAGAGTCTCCAACCACTGGTTCCTCTTGTCATTCAGACCCCAACCACCTAGTCTACATCCTCCCCCCACATGGCTTAAACCTACAGTCAAAGACTTCATACATTGATGCCATGTTTTAGCCTGGCCACCTCAGACCTTCTTCCAGCCTGGAACTACTTCGGCCAACATTGTATGATGAGGCAATCGACGACTAGGCATACGTAACACGTGTCCCAACCATCTCAATCGATAAAGGCTCATCACCTCGTCAACTGATTTACCTCTACTCCTAAAACTCTGTAACTGACGTCTGCGTTACTCACGTAGTGACACCACGGAATACGGTCTATACCACGAAGGCAACGGTGGTCAAACACCTGAAGCCAGCCTCCCATATCTTCCACCTTCATTGGCCATGCTTCACAGCCATACAGTGGAACAGAGCATACTGCTGTGCAGTACACGCAACCCTTAATAGACAAACGGATATCTCGGTGGCGCCATAGGTGGCGTAAGTTGGCAAAAGCCAGCCAAGCCTTTTGTATTTGTGCAGAGATTTCATCGGCCACTGAGCCACTACTAGGGAGGGGCTGATCCTTCTTCTCAGGTAAGTGAAGTGCTTGACACACCCAAACACTACACTCACTCTCTATCGTTAGCCGCGGTACTGTTGAAGACCAATCCTGGAGCAACAATCTCCATTTGGGTGGTGAGAACCGCATCCCAAACATTCTCAAATTCCCACTCAGTATTCAGAAGACTCTGCATCTTCTCAGCGTCTTCACCTAACACGACTGTCATTGCATATTCTAGGTGTAACCAAAATTCTCCACCGATTAGGTCAACCTCTGTGTTGTCAGGTGACGACAGGGAGAATATCTATGATAAAATTGAATAAGAGTGGAGAGAGTGGACACCCTTGACGGACACCACTCGATGAGCACAGCCCCCCGGACATCTCACCATAGGCTCTAACATGCCCACAAGTGTTCGAGTAGACAGCCTTCAATAAGGTGATATACTTATTCGGCACGCCTTTCACTGAGAAACATTGCCATAAGATTTCTCGATCAAGAGAGTCGAATGCCGCCACCTTCAGGTCGAGAAATACAGCTATTGTCGAGCGTCGTAAGCGTGTTTGTGTTCCAAAACCTGGCACAGTGTGAATATTTGATCAATACACCCACGACCGGATCTAAGGCCTGCCTGCCTGGTTTTCTCGCGTTTGCTGTTCTCGAGCTCCACTCAGACGTTGAAGAATTATAGAACCTAGAATCTTAAACACTATGTTCCTCAGGCTGATTCTTCTGTGGTTATCACAAGAGGACTTCTCGCCTTTCTTCAAGACTGAAATATTCAGTGATTCAGACCAGTCAGAGGGCATCGTATTTGATTCCTGTATGCTGGTTAACACTTCCATTAACCCGACTAACAGCATCTTACCACCATCCTTGTATACCTCACGAGTTAGTCCATCGTGTCCTGCCTGCCGCCCTTCTTCGTTTCAGGTTACCTACAGCTTTCTCGATTTCTGCTAGTGTTGAGGGGCCTATCTCAATGTTCCATTCAGGATCCGACTACACAGCGGGCAATGCAATGGTGGCTGGAGGCCAGTTAAACTGTTCCTCGAAGTGTTCTGCCTATCCTTCCAGTTGTCTCCCCTGTGAGTCAGTCGCAGATCCCTCCTTCTCCGCAATAGCCTCACCAACTGTTGTTGACCTTTCCCCTCCAGTCTCCTTAATAAGTCTAAATAACTGTCTACCGTTAACAATCGCCACCACCTTTTCCATCTATTTAGCCTTCGCTGCCCACCGCTGTTCGCGGTCGTTGCGTAAAATTTTCCGTAATCTACTTTTAAGTTGCGCTCGTTCTTCATTGTACTCAGAGTCTGCAGGGAGGCGTTCACCTGCAACCATTAATTCGGAAGAAGCTGCTGATATCCACTGGCTCTTTTCAGCCACTACTTTGAAGTCGGCTACGGTCTTCAGCGCTGCTTTTACAGTAAACTGGAGATGGCACCAAGCTTCTTCTGGATGAGTGACAGTTTTTTGTTCCCATAACTGCCTAGCCAACTTCTCACTGAACACGGCTTTGGTGTTTTCGTTGTCCAGCAGCACTTCGTAGTGGTCTTCTTCCTACGTCCGTTGAGACGCAGGCATATACGCGCTCGGACCAAACGTGATCACTACCCAAACGCGTACTCCAGAAGAAGCGGCCGTCTTCCACCGATCCTCTCCAGCGATGACTAATACCAATATGGTCTATCCGTATCCATCGCTGAGTTGTGCTCGGGGGAAGGCCACATCAGACAGTGTCTTTCTTTATGTCTCAAATTCGTGCTAGCTAAAAATAGGCAGTTATCTGAGCATAGTTGTAGTAGGTGGTCACCGTTATCTGTACTTCCAGCCGGTACTACGAAAGTGCCACCTAAGTGCCTTTCAGTCTACCCACCTGTGCACTGTAGTCACCTGCAAATGTTCGAACACAATAAACTGATATAAATGATTGTCTTTATTTTTCATGTATTGTGCTACTTGCAAAGGAAACTGTCCACGCGTAGATCCTCGAACTCTCATTTAAGTTGAGAAAGATATATCGCGCCTGAAACTATGCAAAGCAGCAGGACCTGACAGTTTGCCAAGTGATGTTTTCAAGGATGGGGGTAGGAGATTGCTGACAAGAGTGACGGAGTAACTGGGTTGTGTATGAGAATGAGAGATAGTTCTGTCAGACTGGTGTACTTCACTGATCATCCTAGTGTGCAAGAGGGGAGATAAGTCTTCATTTGACAAGCATGGGAGAATTAGTTTGACTATGATTGTGTCCGAGATCGTTGTGTCCATATTTATTGGCGCCTGAATAGAGTTGGAGAACAGGAAACTCGAGGAAAGCAGGCATGTTTCGGACCTGGATGAGGGTGCATCGAAAAAATATAACCAGAATTACGTCTAACTTCGAAAGGACTGGCCTACTCCGCTGAGATCATCTGGTTGACTTGGAGTATTTAGACGATATTGTTCTCCTGGGTGAAGACACTGACAAAATCCAGGCTGTTCTGAATGCAGTGCGCAGAACTTTGAGTACGTTTGGCATAAGTTTCACTTGCACCTGTCAAATGTAATATGTCTGAGGACTGATTTAGCACAAAGGCTCCCAGCCCGACAATACGGAGTGAAGTGGTGGGATGTGTCGGCCAGTTTGCTTACTTGAGGAGACCATTGAGGGTAATGGATGTCCTTGGAAGATGTTCATGCGAGAAACATCTCACGCGGAGTCGAAAGTATAGCTAACGTTCTTCACTTTGTAACCTTCAGCGAAGTGGTAGCTTAGACATGTGTTTCGCATGTTAAGCCCCCACCTACCCGAATGTGCAATGTCAACTAAAGTAGGATTGGATTGGAAGAAGGCTCAGGGTGGCCAGACGAAGACGTGGAACCAATCCATGAAGTCTGGCTGGTGGCTTAAGCCATGTGGAGAAATTTGGACTGCCTTCTGACGACGCTCGATGTGATAGGAAACAATGGTTGGAGGACCTCGATGACGTGACTAGAGATCGATAATGATGAAGTAGATGAATTCACTTTTTGTCGTCTTCTAAAGCTTGAACCTTTTCTTCATTCCTTTCCTTTAATAGTAGTAAAATTTTCCAGATATCTGATGGATCATCCCTGTTACATGTGTCAGGTGTTGATTCAATTAACAAATATTCTGTAAGTTATTTCTGCCTCCACCTAGCTATATTGGATTTCAAAACTGTCACACTATCCGGCCGTATAGTGTGAATATGGATCGGTCCTTGCGGATCGACAGCTGAGTTTTTCTCTGAATTACTTATCGTAGTAAGGTTTATTATGGTATTGCTAGATTTTTGTGCTCAACTTTTCTGACTGGCCTTGATCAGCTGCTCTGAAGTACATACTTGACCTCACAATCATTACATTACATTTGATAGATTAAGTTATTTTGCTTAGTTGGATCTGCTGGATGTCTTAGTTCTGGTTCACTGGTTTATGCAGTTGACTTTCAACCAGTGGGTTATGGGTTCAAGCACCACTCCTCCTACCGAGATTCGGACAGCCAGGTCAGGTAGTATCGTTAGCCTTCACGCAATAGCTCATTGCCTACTGTTTGAATGTGCAGAAAGTTGCGGGTGCGTTTCATTTCGGTTTTCAACAATTTCCTCTCTAAGTGAGTTTTTTGATTTAAAGGCAGCTGTGATCCCAGCATTGTTAAAAATCATACGTAAAATTTCTAATGTGCATTCTTTATGTAGCAACAGTACAGATGATTTAGATTCCTCATTAGGTATATTGCGGTTAGTATGAGTACTATTCCTCCTTCTCTTGTAAGTCCTTATGAACTTTTCGATAAATTCCAAGGGGCAGTAATTACAAATTCTATAAGGATTAATGAGAAAATGAGCAATAATATTTTTAGTATCTGTAACATGCTTAATAGGGAATTCAAATCATCTGTACTGTTGCCGTATAAAAAAGCACAGAAATTTTACGTATGATTCTTAATAATTCTCGGATGAGAGTCTCATTTCAAGCCGACAAACGCAGTCAGAGAGAAACAGCATGCTGAGAGATCCAGTAGATGCAATTGAGTAAAATAACCTCATTTATCAGATTCCATGTGATGTTTATGAGGGCTTTATAATGGTCGGATTATTTTCCTTATTGTATTGTATAGGATCCGTAAGCTTCCAAAGATTGTTTCCAAGTGAGTTTCCAGGTTGGAGTCCTACTTACTTCCCTGGTTGATTGAGATTCGTACGTAATATCTTTGATCTGCCTTCTCTGTATGATAGTACCGTTGAGATTTCTCCTATTCTCTTATCTCAATGTTGCCAATATTGTTGTCATTATAATTGCTGACACGTGACAGCACTAATAATCATATTTTTATCAGTTACCAGTGAACTTACTGGTCACTTCAGTAAGGTAATTATTGGTGTGTGGGGTATCCTGATTATATTTGATATCTTATTTTAGATTTTTCGTTTTACTAGTTTTTTGGTCGTTACTTATACCTTCTAAGTCTACTTTAACTGACATCTGGTGATATGATTTAAACTGCAAGTAACGATTCGAATATGGTTCCCTTTAAACGGAAGTATCTAAACTTCCATCTTTTTTAAATTCGTAAATACATTGGTTTGCGTCCGGAAGCCCATGGATTTTGTCAAGGTCTTCTGGACGTACTGAGCAGAAATACTAACATGTTTTGCATTCGTTTCGCACCTGTCAATTTAAGATGATTACAGACTAGGTGAGAAAATCAACGGAGAACCTCGCACAGGAGTGCGTCAGCTCAAGTTGCCACACTTTACGGAAGTACACAAAGAACAGGTGGGTGGAAAATGAGTGATATCAGAGTAGATGAAGTAGTTTGAGGGAATAAATAATCTGAAGTTAGTATGTAAGATGATGTTCCAGGACTGGTCTGCAACCACTCCTAATTTAAGGATAGGAAGTAGTAGAATGTGTCAACCACTTCCCATCAGCCCGCCGAACGGCCTAGTTGTTGACGAAATCTCAGCTTAGACACAAAAGACCCGTTCGGCACTTGGCAACTTGCGTCATCTGTGGCGCCGACCGACGAGATATACGACTATTTATCAAAGGACGAGCATACTGTGTCCCAGTCCGTCCTGTCCTGTTGTACGGCTGTGAAACGTGACTTTTGGATGAAGAAGACATGAAGCGATTACTGAGTGCCTTTGATCATGTTGAGTGGGATAATCGTGGGAGCAATGTTGAGGTGAAGCGAAGGGTACTGGGCAAGACAGGTAAGTCGATTTATGAGTTCGTGGACCTTAGTCGACTGAGGTGCCTTGAATATGTACTGGAATGTCGAACCACCGCCTACCTCGACATACCATGCTGACAGAAGTTGGATTAGCTTGGAAGAGGGTTCAAGGGTGGACACAGCAAAACGTGACACTAGTTGATGAAATGTCTTGCTTTTGGTTTGAGTCGTGTAGGCAGATGTAGACAGTGTGGTTGTGGTCCCTGAGACGATAGGAATCAGTGGTTGAGGACTGTTGGTGACATGTGAGAAAATTGGTCACAATGGCGCAGATGTATTCACTCCCTGATATCTTCTAACGTTTGAATCTTTGCACTGATTGTTATCTTCAGATTATTCTCTCATTATTCATTATCTTCTTTGATATCACTGATTCTATCCACCTGTTTTTTGTTAACTACTGTGAAATGTGTCAACATTGAGAGGATGAATCTGAGTGCGAGGTTCTACGTTGATTTTTTCACTTAGTGTTTTTGAAATGTGATTGCTCATTATGAAACAGTATAAGTTATTTAATTAGGTGTCTAGGTAAAATTAAGCTTGACGCAGTGGTTTTTGCCTACTTTCAATTAAGTGAACCATGTTGAGAGCGCCTGAATTTTTTTTCTTTTGATAATGTAAAAATTACCATTCAGACACTTGGTAAAACAAACAATATGAGTGAAGTAATATTTCTTTTCATTTAATTCCTCATCGTTGGCTCTACACTTATGTAGTATTTTCAAAACGTAAAATTACATACCTATCTAGTAGTGAAAGTTGTTCAATGAAAGGTTATCATTCTTGAAGTATCAAGAATGTGATAACTGATCAGGTAATTAAGACAATTAACTAAAGCATAGATTACTTATAGTGGAAAGATTTTGTGAAATTTTAAACAGGTTGTTACATAATTGATATTTCGTATATTAGTAACTAAAGAGCGAAAATAAGTTGTTACGTCAAGTGGTAAATTGTTGACGGTAATTAGCAACAGCAGGGGAGAACAAGATGGCCAAAACTGTGGTAATAATAGCAATAGTAATAGAGGTATTAAAATATTAGTTACAGTCATTTGTGGGGTAAATGAGAGGAAGGGTCTTTTTGTAATAGATAAATTATACAGATGGTCAAAGCAAAGAAAAGGCTGTACGAATTTCTTCTAAACACACAGACTTCGCTTGTGTGGGTTGATTCCCATGGATTCTGCTGTATGTAAAAGGCGAACTCGTAGAGTGTGGTTTAGGTTAGTAGGAATGTGATAAATAACTTTAAAGGCATTATGAATATTAACTCGGTGACCAGTGTCAATCAAATGCGAGAGTATTGAACTTCGTATGAATCTGGTTTGCCTTTTACCTAGCCATGAAGGATGATGCTTGACGATTCGACGATGGACTTGCATAACTGTACGTCCAACGTAACTAGTTCCACAGGAGCAACTGAACTGGTAAATGCACATAGAAGAGGAGAAGTTAGGTAGTCTGTCTGTGGTTTGCGTGGCCGACTGTAAAATACGCGGCATAACTTTGCGGCAGTAAATGATCTTATGGTACTTAGGCGCTGTGTCACATCCATTACTACGGAGTTGATCATGGATAATTTGAAGCTCTTCATCAAAAGTATCATCTGAACAGATGAGTCTTGCCTAATAGACCAAACATTTGACTGGATTTCTTTTACATTGCATGGGGACGAAAATCAAGAAGTGGGCGTATTGACCTGTTGATGTTGGTTTCCAATATACACTTCGTTTTACAGTTTCATCCGCCTTCCTTGTCAATCAGACAGCTAAGGTGATGCTGTCGTCACTTTCTGGCTCAATGGTGAAGGTGATCGCTAGATGGACGCTATTAAACTTATCCAGTATAATCCTTGCATCATTCTCGTTATTCACAATCAAGAACGTATCATCTCCATAACGGCAGTAAAATTTTAACCCGCTTACGATACTTTCCAGAGGGCCATTTTCTAATTTCGCTAAAGAAAAACCCCCTACGATTGTGCCTAGTGGTGACTCCATAGCGACACTCTCTGACTGTCTACAGAATTCCTTGTTGAATAGAAAGTGTATATTCATTGTACATCATAAGAGAAGCTCTTTCATGGTGGATGCCGTAATTCCAATTTCTATATTTCTCTTTTTCAGCTCGCTACATAAAAAAGTCTACTGTTTCTATTAGAGGGACATTTGTGAATACTGATGATACGTCTAAGGATGTCATAGACTTATTATTCACATTCAAATCTCTTATCTTCTTAATAAAGTGAAAGGTATCTTTGACGGTGTGATTTACAACCCCCTTATGCAATGGTTGCAAGATTTGTACTAGCCATTTCGCTGTCGCATGATACGGAGAGTTTCACATGTCAGGAATTGGTCGGAGTGATAATCCGTTCTTATGCACTTTTGGTAAACCGCATGACCTCGGTGTTACTGTATGTTTGAGTGTTTCATACACACTGTGAAATGAAGCCTTGCTGTTTCAACTTCTTTAAGGATTCAGATGATCGCTTCTCTGTCATGTTAGTATTGGGTGATAGTTTCTGAAATTTTCTATGATCACTAAGAAGGTTGTTCGTTTTATCCAGATATTCCGCTTTGTTTATAATAACCACTCCTGAACCAATACATTCTCGTTCATTCGAAGTTTACGTAAGGCTTCTCTATGTTTTCTAGTCACGATGCCTCTAGCAATCTGCTTACTATTCATATATTTGTAGCAACAGTGAACCAGGGTAGATCTGAATCTTTCTACCCCATCACTTGAAGAAGGTGATAAGTGTTCTGTCTGTGAGTACAAGTTTTCAAACTGAACTTGAGTGTCTATTTTATTAGGTGTGATATGACTATCACAAAACTTAGGACCTAGAGTGCTACCTTATCAAGATAAACATTGGAAAAATTATGGACATATGGACCAGGATTTAGAGGAAATCTCATTTCTAGAGCTTGGTTCTTCAAACTTTGAATAGGATGAATTCGTTTCTTCTCCTTTCTTTTGCTGACTACTTGTTTCACCACTAGATTGGTATGTAATTTTGCGTTCCAAAAATACTATATGCTAGTGTAGAGCCATTGATGAGGAATTAAATGAAAAGAAATATTTCTTCGCTCACATTGTTTGTTTTACTAATTGTCTGAATGGGAATTTTTGCGTTACAGAAATCTTCTGAGCATCGAATCGCCTTAAAGATCCTCAGTGAGTATCTGAAGTACAACCTAAAGCTCAGTGAAGCGAAGACTTCAATGGATTTTATTCTTTGGTTATTTTCAGATTTTTTGGTCACCAATACTTTTTTATTGTATCTTTCAGACGTCGTCCGTGCTACTACCTTTCAAAGAAAGTCCACAAGAAGTCCTTGATGATACGGATTTAGCTGGACCATTGGTTTTTTGTTTATTGTTTGGATGCACTTTACTGTTTGTAAGTTCTCTTACTACAAACTATTTATTAATTGTTGTTGAAGTTACTATATGCAATATGTGCAGTATTTTTCTGGAATGATTCATGTTTATCTTTTTTTTAATTGATCTCGGGAAACCATTTCTCAGGCTGGAAAAATTCACTTCAATTATATCTATGGATTGGGAGTGTTTGGTTGTTTGGGGATTTACCTCTTGCTGACTGTTATGACACCAAATGGAGTTACTCCAACATGCGTGATTTCAACTTTAGGATATTGCTTACTTCCAATATGTCTTCTTTCATCATTTGGGATTATTTTCTCCCTGAAGTAAGTATATTCACTTTTAACTTTTATATATTATACCCTAGAAATTAATTCGATTTCTTCGGTAATGTTTGTCAGAATATCCTCTTAGGACAACTATTTTATCAGTATCAATATAATCTAAATGAATGAAGTAACTTTACGGTTAGAAGTCATTACTGATTGTTCAGAAGCATAATGATTTTCTTTAAAGAGGTTAATGTTTAACAAAAGTTGTAAGATTTAAAATCTATTCTCTATACAACTTTTGTGGCGGTATCTATCCACGGAGTCTGTTACGATCATAGCAGTTAAGTAACTCATCTGTTTAAGATTATTTTTAGCATCACCAATCACAATCTCATTTAGTATATATCTATCCTAAAAGCTGAAGCTAGAAATAGTTGTCAAAAATTCCTTTTTTCCCAAGCCTCCCTCATCCTCTGCAAGTCACCAAAATCTAACAGTCTAAGACCACTTTTTTAATCGGTTTTCACTTCTCAGTAATTCTGATTACAAAAACGAAGTAATTCAGCGAAGAAAATTTTCTTTTCGACGAGTCATTTTCAGCATCTGTACAATCGTACTTATAGTAATAACAAACAAATAGTATACTAGTCTTAGTGTCATTGCATGTATGACACCGTCGTTGATTGTACCGAATTGATCAGTCTCTGTTGGCATATGGCGGTTGAAGCGATCGCTCCCGAGTCCGAGTCCCGCTGGGAACAACATCACTCACCGGGGGGCAGGTACATCCAGCTGACGAGTCCCAAGTAGGACGAAATGCGCATCCTGGATTCCACTGCTAGCCACTGCCCATCATTACTATACATAATTAAAACACAGACAATATCGAGGCATCCTCACAGGAGCCCATATGCCAACAAAGACTGATCAGTTCGGTCGAATCAACGACGGTATAAAACAAGCAATAACACTAAAACTATACTCGTCGCACAAGAAGTGGCTATCGTGGCTCGGTGGTGTAGTGGGTACCGCTCTGGCGTTTGGAGCGATCGGTTCCGAGTTCGAATCCCTGTGGGAAGAACACCACTCACTGGGAGGCAAGTACATGCAGCTATCGAGTCCCAAGTAGGACGAAATGAGCACCCTGGATTTTACTGCTAGCCGCTGCCCATCATTACTAAATATACTGGTCTGTTTGTTTGTTATTACTAAAAATATGATTTATAGATGCTGAAAAATGATTCATCGAAAAAGAAATTTTCTTCGCTGAATTACTTGGTGATTTTGAATGTTTCACTGGGATTCTGATTTCGTTTTGTATGTAGAGAGGACTACGAGATGAACATTACACTTGTTTACTTAACATAATTCTCACCCTTTTTCATTTTACTGTTCTCACCAATGTTCGTTGGAATACCATTAGTTAGTACAACAACATAGGTTACCTTTCATTCCTTTAACGTCACAACTGCAAGGAATATTACAATTAAAACTTCCTCTATCAGTTGATTTTTTCAAATTACATACGCACTTCTCATTCGTCAAAAGTACTACATAATTAGAAAATTCTTATGTAAGGCCTATGTTGTATAACTAGGTGAAGCTGTGGCTCATTAGTCTAGACACCCGACGGAGTTGCAAATTCGAACCCAGTTCAACCTACTGAGGTATGGACAGCAAGGTAGTAAGTTTCATTAGCCCCCACCGAATAGGTATGGGTCACTGACTACTGTACGAGCGAGCATACGGCTATCGAGTAAATTTAGATTTTTCGAACCAGGCTTTATGTTCACTAAGCTGATATACGCGTAGCGGGTGAGTTTCTCTTCTTCTTAATTTGTGCTGAAAGGCAACTTGGAAAATGTAATTGATACATTTTTCAACTTCCATTAGTAACTATTAGGGTCGCGCAATTTTTGTGTTCAGACTGAAATGTTACTTATTACTTATATCCTGAGAACTGTGGTGATATTTCTGTAGTAGGACACCACAGAACAAGATATGTCAGCACCTAAAATGTGAGTGTTATTCATAACCGATAGATTTGTGTGTTTGTTGCTTTCTTTTCTGTTAGTATTCGATAGTTAACAAGGGTTTGCCAAATGTGATAGCAAAAAATGTCAATACATAAGTTTCTATCGTAATCAAAAGTTCTAATATGTGGTGAACATTGGTCAAATACGACTTGAGTTGCCTAAAGATTACCAAGTTTGGAAACTCAAATATGATCAGAAAGAGCATTAAGACAATGAGTGGTAAAACATGTAAAAGGTGTACAAAAAAAGAGGTGGTTTCAAGGACTGCAAATTTAAACGATGACAGGAGGAGGGGTTGAAAAATCTTCTTTTACGTATAAAGCTCAGGTTTCTTCGTATAGACGGCGACATCTTTAGCAACACAATAACAAGACAACCTTTGGAAGGTCTTTACACTTTATAAACGACTTTAAATGAGAAGGTTCTTGAGTTAGAGTCACATGTGTTCAGTAATAGAACTTATTAGTGATCAGGAACACTCCCAAGTAGAAACAGTGAATCGGTTCAAAGTGCTACAGTTGAAGACGATTGTATGTATTTGTATCCTCTTCATTCTCTAGCTCTTGCCATCTGTATGGAGAAATCGTATCTCTGTACACAGTAGAAGATTGTTCAACCTCTTCCCCTAGTTAACAATCTTTGAATCCACCTATTTCTTTGTACACTTCGCACTTCCTATCGTTCGTTATTGTCTCCATGTTGTCTCGGACCACCATCGAGTTTTCAAATGTTTTTTTCATGTTACACAACTTGTTATCTGAACGTGTTCATCTATTGATTGGTCACTGGAGTGCAACCAATTTCATATTGCCTTGCTGACGCGTGCCAAAAAGCACGAAACCTAGGTCCAGGGCTTCCTGCCGATTGCCTCCAACCAACTAACAAAAACGTATTCATCTTTATGCTTTGCTTTTCATTGAATTTCACTATAAATTATAAATTACAATTGTTCATCTTTTTTCATTTTCACCGCTAGAAGCCTATTGGGCATTGCAATGACTGTAGCAGTGGTTTTCTGGTGCACCGTCGCGTCAAGCAAACTGTTTGTTCGTACTTTAGATATGCAACATCAACGCATTCTTGTTGCTTATCCGTGTGCTTTAGTGTATTGCGTCTTTGCACTTTTAGTTGTTTTTTGATTTCATTACTTGTTTATATTGAGTGATTACCTGGAAATATTTGCAGTTTACTTATTTGAGTAAAAATCTGTTAACTTATAAATGTCTTTCTTATGATAGAAACACTTACTTTCGTAAGATGTACATTATAGAAAGTTCTTGTTTGTAACTATTATTGACATAACACTGTCAGAAATACACAAATTCAGGCATATCGTTGTATACCACATTTTTAAAGATAACTTTGTGTGAATAGATTAATAAGTCTATGTTTTTAGTTGTCAAAGATTTAGATGTTTACTCTTCATACAAAATTAATTACAGGTGAAATTATTGATATGTACTTCCGTTGAAAATCTGTACTTGGATGGGAATATTGAGTGCACTCAGCAACACGGTGGTTTTGAACCTTCTAATTCTTCCCACCTTACATATTCATTCCCTGGATAAAATCGAATTTGCTTGTAGAGTGAAAACGGTAAAAAAAAGTGCTTCTCCATTTAACTCAAGAACCTCGCCTAGTTCACTAGTTACTAGCCGGTCCTAAGCCCGGATAAAGATGGAAGGTTGGGCATAGGGTTGGCAACCCTATACCGTAAAACAAATCTAACCGCTAAAGAAACTTCACAGCACAAACTAAATTTAAAAAAAATAAAAATTAACTTATTTCATGCTGGAATCGGAGAGACGAAATGACGCCGGTTGGTGAAAGCATTCGGGAAGCCAATTGGTCGATGTGTCTTCTCTCTATAAAAGCGAAAGTAAGAATAGGGACATAGAATGTCCGCACAGTGTTTGAAGCTAGCGAGACTGTCCAGATTGTAAAAGAGATGAGAAGGTATAGCATAGAAGTGCTAGGAATCTGCAGATGGAATGGAAGTAGACTCTCCAAATTGTCAACTGGAGAGGAGAGTCAAAAATCTACTCCGATATTGTCACCCAGACGACAACCACGAGCACACTGTGTTCTCCAGTGGCTATCATCATGTCTCCAAGATCATCGAAGGCTCTCTCCCATGCAATGGGAACCAACCTCCTCCAGCATCCGAACCATGACAGCAAGATTCAAATCAAAAGGAAGGAAGGTCACAATCATTCAATGCTACTCTATGCACCTACAAATAATGCAGACGAAGAGAAGGGGGAATTCTACAGACAACTGCAATCAGTACTAGACAAGACTGCAGTTAGTGACATCAAAATTCTGATGGGCTACATGAATGCCAAACTCGGAGCGGACAACACAGGAAGCGAACTCATCATGGGTCGAGAGGCACTCGGTGAAATGAATGAGAATGAAGAACTGTGTAGATTTCTGCGCATTCAAACACAAGGATATTCACAAAACGACGTGCATTTCACCTGACACACTAAAAATCAGATCGACTTTATCTCAATCTGAGTAATAATTGCTGTATTCTGAAAGCTATTTCGGGAACACTACAAGATTTTCAGCACATCATATAGCATAAGTTGGATAGAGGCAGTAAATATGTATACATAGCAAAATGAAAATAAGTAGAAATTACATGAAGAAAAGATAAAAATGTTTACTCTATCTACAACTTCCTTCAAAGTCCACAATCAGGTTACGTATGCAATCATATAAACAACTAGGTTCATAATAGGTAAAAAGTAACATGCTCACCTTCAGTTAATCTGCTTTCAGAAACAGAAGTTGGTTAATGAGTTCATTTTTAATACTTTCTTCATCATACAACAGACGTGCTAAATACGGTATCGTAGAGTTTTTATATTTTGTAGTACGTGTATAGAGTCTTATGTACTTGCTCGTCGTCTTTCGAGATGACCGACACATAGCTTCGAGTGAAGGGGATGTCGGTCATCTGATGAAATAACTCCTGCTAGATGTTTACATGAATTAATATTTCTGTCCACAACGGTTTTAACTAGAAGGTTAAGGGGTACATCACTAGTCCTGCTGACAATCTTCAAAGCTCCATGCAATATAGCATAGTCTTTTTTCAGCAACTTGAAAAAAGGGGGGCAGTAGAGGAGGACAGGCAAGATGCAGAAGTTTTTAAAACATAAGAGAAGAGGTTGAGTAATACCAGGTACTCTCAGCTTCCTTATGTAGAAAGTTAGGCGAAAAATTCTCTTGGGAATTAGTGAGATGTGCGAAGACTAGGAAGGGTCCGAAGAAAAACACCAAGATAAATCACATTTGTAACATTCTCTAATGCGCGACTATCAATAGAACAGCAATCATGAGAACTCAGCAGTTTGCACAAGTTATGTTCACATCTAATACTAAAGTTTATGGTCTGACATTTTGAAGAATTAAGCTTGTGACCATTCTTGAAGGGCCATCGTCTAATAGTAGATAGGAAATCATCCAATCGGGAGCAATCCGCTGACGAGGAGATAGGTATGAAAACTGTTAGGTCATCAGCATATTTAATGGAATTGATACCAGCTAAAGATGTTAGGTCATGACGAAAGAATGAGAAAAAACTTGAGGAATGGATGGCTCCTTGGAGAACTCCAGCTACAGTAAGCAGTGAGGTAGAGTGCTTCCCTCTGTGAACAATATGTTATTTTCTATCAGAGAAATAGGAATGCAGCCAACTGACTATCCAGGACTCAGTATTTGTCCCAGTTAATTTGTCCAGTAAAAGAGGCCTTGGGACATGGTCAAATGCCGAAGTATGGTCTAAAAAAGCACACCTGACATACTTGGCATTTTTATCAAGACTAAAAGCAATATCGTGAAATAAGAGAGTGGTGGCATCCATAGTAGTTCCTCTGCTGTTATATGCAAATTGATTAGGGTCTCCAAAACCCTTCAGTGAGGGCTCGAGCACAAGTGTTACAAGCTTCTCCATTATTCTTAAGAACGGAGAGGTAACTGCAGTCGGAAGGTATTTTGTACATGCACCTGGAGTCCTAGATTTAGCTACGGGGACCATCTTGATATCTTTCCAGGCAGCTGGTGTAGTGTTTTTTGAAAATGATCTGTTGAGCATGTTAGCTAATGGATAGCATAAAATATCGGCACATTTCGTGAATACGAAGCTTGACATACCACCCGGACCTGAACTGTGAGAAAGGTTTAGGGATTTGAGACATTTGAAAACATCATTCGCGATGAACTCTGGACAGTGTTCTTCATTGGACGAAGTGGAGTCGAACAAGTGGGTTGACATAAAAAAGATTTGTTCAAGGTACAGATATTGACATGTGGTTCTTTACTAAGGTGTTTACTACCAGTGAGGTCTTAAAAAGTCCCCACTTGCTGGAAGAGCCTTTGCATGACAAAAGTTTCTAATTGTTTAGTAGGCGTAACCTAATTAAAACGTTCAGTCGAGAAGCATCATCATGATCACTTACCTTATACAGTCTCTTTTTCTCTTCTCAGTTTCTTAAGCTGGGAACAGGATGTACGATCGAAACGTAGAAAAAGCTTCTCACTTGGGCAACATGTATCTAGGCAGAACCTGAGATAGCATGTTACACCATCAATAGTATCACTCAAATCATAGCTGTCAAATATATTCCAGTCTGTACATTGAAGCATTTCTCTTATATTAAATATGTTACCAAGTGAGTAATTTCTATGTATAATCTTCGAATACTCGAAAGCTGTTTTGTGTAGTTTGCCATATATTTTGGGCAAAACACATATCATGCAATAATCTGAGCAGTGGGGATCTCTTTTGAGTTTCGTATGTACCAGTATCATTGACGAACACCAAGTCTAGTGTTGCATCCTGACGTTGTGAAGTTAACAATGTTTTGATGACCAGAAGTTTTGAGAAAGATTTGGTCACAAGAGTTGAAATCAACACATCTACAGAGTATGGGGGCTGGGGATTCCGAGAATATATCAGAGAATTTGGATAGTTCGGAGAAACCAGCCAGGCGTTACATAAATATTTGTTATATAAATAAAGTGATATTTATTCAAGTGTTTTAGGCGGCATTTTACAGTGATGCAATCTGTGTGGTCATTAGAGAATTTGAGGCAAACTTAACTCGAAATGCACCAATGAGTATTGATGAAAATAGCTACTCCACCTTTCTTAGTACAGCTATATCGATCTTGACAGAAAAATTTTGAATTTATTCATGCAGAGATCAAATTGTCATCACAAAGTTCATTTAACCAAGTTTCTTGAAATGTAATTACTCCAGTATTACGGTACACATCGGAGGATAAAAGAGATTGTAAGTAATCTATTTTTTCCTGCAGTTCGTGCTTATACTTTCAGGAAGTCATTTGAGATAAGGTTATTTGCCTCAAAGTACGTTGCCTTCCGCCGTTATGCTTTTTCCTCACCTTATGCGATACTGGCATAGCAGAAGGCCGTAAGCGTTTTAAAAATGTGCTTGATTATATAACACGATCAGAAGACAAAATAGAATGATTAAAACGAAACAATCTGTTGAAAATCTAATGAAATATGACAGATGGAAAATTTAGTAGCCAAGATAATCAAGCAGACCGCTGAAAAGATGGAGACGCAGCCTACTGGACAGAAGATCAAGAAGAGGAGCAGGTATAGGTTCAAACCACTCACTATCTAGTGCAACGAACCTATCTTCAAAATCAAGTTAAAAGCCTTCACAGAAGTCGATGATAGACCAAACTTCAAGTTCAACATCCAGAAAAGAAACTGAAGGATGAAACCTCAAAAGACATCTTCATGTCAGATATTGTAGCATTTTATTTCACTGTATTGTGTTGATATATTCATTAACTCATTGAACATTCTTTGTTTAGTTGTACTGATAAAGACTTTTTGCTCACTCTTTGACCAATACAACATACTGATATATACTTCACGTTAACTCCTGATATTTACACTGTCTGACGCAGGTGGATCAGCAGTGTGGGGAATTATAAATAGGCGATAGTGTATCTGGACACGTATATAAATTTGGAGTCCGATTTTGGAGCTCGACAACATCAGGAAAAAATAGGAGACATTGAGCAACATCCCGGAGGAAACCTGGGTGGAAGAACACTGAAACTCTTTGAAAGAGACGTGGAAGGAAACCTGCATAATCATGTTAGGAAGGAAGAGGAAAGAGGACAAGGAATGGTTCTCGACGGACTCATGGGAGATGATAGAAGAGAGAGAGGAAGATGGTGATGGTGAAGATGAACCAGTGCGGTGTAAGGATGAACAACGAAAAGATGAACTGAACACAACCTATAAAACACTAGACAAAGAAGTGAAGAGGAGTGCGTGGAAAGACAGACCTACGGCACACTTGCAAATGAGGCAGAACAGGCCACTGGTGGGAGAGACCTACACACCATCAAATGACCAGGTTAATATCTGGTAAGGATCAGATCATCTTAGATGAAACCAACGAAAGATAGTGAAGGAAACTTAGTTAGCAGAGAGGAGAAACAAAGAAAACAATGGGCTGATCACTTCAAAAAAACTCTTCAATCGACCACCAACACAACCGCCTGCAACTAGTCCAGAAATACCACCAGCAACAGAACTATCAGTGAACACAAGCCCTCCGACCAAAGCAGAAGAGATGTCCTGAACACCGTAAAGTTACTG